TCTTTCCCCCAATTCTGTTGAAATGTTTCATGGTACACCCATATTTATGGTGTACCATGAAACATGGTTGCATAACCAGACCCGGTGCCCCCACACCTGCCCTAACACTTACCTGAATCACAGAATTCTCTCTGCAGGCTGCATTTTTTTTTAATTTCATGTGGTTGGGTTTGACTTTTGTAGTTCTCAATGGAGTACAACTGCGTTGACGTCACCACACTTGTAGCCCATTCATATTTCCTGCCATTCCTTAGCTGAAAGTCCGTATCTCTGTGCAGAGAGGGGCTGGGGGGAGATGTCTGCAGGAGTCTGAACATTGTATTCTCGATTGTGGTTGCAATGCTTTGCAGACAAAATGAAAAACAAATCAGAATAAATAAATACATGCACATTTGTTTTCATTTATTAATAATGTATTTTTTTTACCAATTATAATTTATTGATGTGTACTGTATGTGCATTTATTTGCAAACTGGGCTTTGCCTTTAATATTTTTTTTTTATTTACTTATATTTTAACACTGTAATCGGCACTTCCTATGCAGGTTAATAAAACAACTAAAATGTAGGAAAATAAAAAAATTGCCTGTGCCATGTTATTGCTGATTTTTCCTCTCAAGTCTGCTGCTTTAGTTTGGCATTCACAAAATGCCAAACTGTTTATGCAGTTTAGTTCTCGTAGACATCCTTGCAATGTTTGAGGTCATCAACTCTCTTCTCCCTAGTCAGGAAGGAATGAAACTGCAAAATTCATATCTTCATGTCATAAGTCACATGGGACTCAGAAAAGAGAGAAAGAAGGGCATAAGGAATAGGAAGTAAAGGGTCTCTCTGCTCTCTGTAGATATTCAGATATAGCAATTGCATTATATGATTTACATAGAGAAAGCAAGCATATAGTATAGTGGCCCTAATTCTTCTGGTATATTGCTATAGTGCATTCAATTTTATTTACAGATTTATATATGTGCTTTCCTAAAACATGGCCATCTTCAACTGGTCGGGGTATGGCGATCTTGCTTGTCATTGCATAAATTGCAAACAGAAAAGCTAAATCATATATTTTGATGCATGGCTCTGAAACCTTGGTGGCTTTGTTACAGAACGCAGTCTCTGTGTTGAAGGGCAGAAAAAGCACTGCAGCAATAGCTCAGACATGATGAGGATGTGGAAGGGATTTCCCACTGAGAACAGGCTGTATAAATAATGCATTATTCAGACGGTGTTCTGCTAGGGCTGTCTGATCCCTAATTCTCAATTCCTTTTATTTTCCACTAAAATAGCTAGGATCAGATTCTCTGGTTAAAATAGTTGGACAGCTTTGCAAGTAATTTCCTTTAAATAACCGGCACTATGCAGTTAGAAGAAGTAGTCTGACAGGCTTTTGTGTTAAGTCAGAGGTGGGCAACCTGTGGCTCTCCAGCTGGTGTGATGCTAGGAGACTCAGCAGGACATCAGGGCTGAGAATTCACAAGGGAAATCTAGGTGTATGACCAGGACAGCCCCATTTATGGGAATCTGTGTGTATTCTTCAGGGAAACTGAACAATGTTAAAGCATTGTTCCACGTCTGAATATATTTCGGAAAAAAAAAAAAATCATTACGATAGTATGAGCAAAAGTGTGCCGTAAGTTCACATGATAAATTGGGATGGAGTTTATTATGAAGAGAGACACGGCTGAGAGACAGGCAGAAAAAGGATTCTCCTTCTCTAACCATAGAAGAGGAAAAAACATTGTGTAAAATATATCTGTAAAAGAGAAGAAAAAGAAAGGATTAAAGACTTGTCTACCTTTCACAAAAAAGTAGTAAATGCATTAACATCAATCTCATGATCAATATGCATGTACTCATTTTTTTCCCACAAAGCCTAAAGAGCTTTGCACCTGTGATCAGTACATCATTAGTTTAATGTACAGGGTCTTTCAATGTATTCCCTCAGCACCAGGTACTTATGAAGATATGGACCTGCTGTTATGGGGCTGGAAGAAGTGAGGTTGAAGTACGGTTTTAAGAGCGAGCAGGGATCCCCAGAATGTCTTGCATAGCACCTCTTCCGCAGTGGCAGATGGGATTTGTAGTAATTTGCAGTGAGTAGCCCCAGACCTTGATGACATGTTTGGTGGGAGGAGCCATGCACAGCAGTACTATATTCAAATAATTTCAATAGCAAAAATTAGCCTGTTCCGGAACTGGCAACATTGGGATAGTGGCAGCTGTGGTGGTGAGACCAGATAGACTGAGTTGGTGGAAATTGTAGTGATTGCAGTAGCTTGGGGAGGTGCAGGCACTGCCATGTGCTGGGGTTCAAATGGTGCTGGCAGAATGGTATATGTGGGGGTCATAGTGATGAAGGTACCAGGAAAGAATGGTGAGAGCAGGGCTGGGTGGGCATGGGGCAGAATTGTGCTGGGGTGCACCAGAGTTGTGAGGCGGTGCAGCAGAGCAGTTAGAAAGGGGGATGCATGTGGAGTGATGAGGAAGGTGTGACAAATAAGTAAGAGGGGTGCAGAGTGGTGGGAGTGCAGCAGAGTGCAGCAGAGTGTTTAGAGGGGCGTCAGTGTGGTGGTGGGGTGCGGCAGAATGATAAAAGGGTGCGGCTTGGTGGTCAGGGTTTGGCAGAGTGGTTGGGAAATGACAGAATGGTAGGTGGTGGCAGACTGATGGGGGTGGCAGAGTGGTGGGATTGGGGGGATACACTAACTTAACATTTACCTGCCAGCGCTTCTTCCTATGCTTCTCCTTCCCTACAGCAGCAGGGCAGAAGAGAGGGCAGACCTAAGTACTGCTGGCAGGAATAGGTGCACCTCCCTGCTCTCACAAAACAACCCCCTCCATATTACTAGTGTCATGTGTACATTTAGGATCACCCTCTGCACACTTACCACTTTACCAGCTTCCCCTCCACAACATCAGCAGAAAACTTGTGCCCATGGTCACAACTTAAGCCTGAAGATGCATCAGAGCCCAAAACAGTTAGTTGCCTTTTATTTCCTGTTCCATTTCTGCAGCACGTATCATCAGATTACCTTGTAATGCATGGTGATTCCCTTTTTGATAACAATGCAGCATCTTTCTTCTTTTTTTTGAGAAAGACAGTTGGTATCAGACTGAACAGCAGGGATCCTAACATTTTTGAAGGGACTAGTTAATTGCCTCTCCACTCACTGTGGCCAGTAGGAGTAAAATTGTCTATACACAAAATGTAATACAAATGTAGGATTATGTTGGTTCGAGAAAAAGTTTCTATCCTGCTTCTTGGTCAATGATTGTCGATACAACACCAATAACTAGTAGAAAATCAAACCAATATTCCAAAAACAATCAGTTTTGAATAAGATTCTAACCATGCATACACCGCTTAAAAAAATACTTTGGCTTGGAGGTCAGTGAAAAATGTTACAGCATTAGTGGGAATAAAAAATGTTCATGTGTCACTGGGAGTAATAAATGACTTGGTGTATAATTGGAGAAATAGTGCCCCATTGCTGGTGTCAGTGGGATGATTAGTGTTCTGTTGGTGTCAGTGGGTGAAATAGTTTTTTTTTTATCATTGGTTTCATTGAGTAAAAAAAGGTTTCTATCATTGTGTAAGTGAGAGAAATGGTTTCCCATAACTTGTTCTAGTGGCATTAGGAAAGCCCCTTAGGATTGGTATTCAGTGTCACTTACCTTTCATAGTTACATAGTTACATAGTATTTGAGGTTGAATAAAGACATTAGTCCATCAAGTCCAACCTATTAGGATCTCATTCTAGGAGTACCTGTACCCCTGTATATTACGGTCCCTTAAGAAATCGTCCAAAAGTTTCTTGAACAATTCCACATTATTTGCTGAAATCACCGCCTGTGGCAGTGAGTTCCAGACCCTAACTGATCTTACTGTGAAGAACCCCCTTCGCCCCTTGTGCTGGAATTTTTTTTCCACCAATTTTAGGTGATGGCCTCTAGTTTTTGTAACGGAGTTAAATCATTAAACTCCATATACCACAATGCTTCTCTGCTGACCAAATTACATCATGTCTGGAACTACATAGGGACCATCAGGCAGAGGATCAGTTTGTGCTGTCATGTGCTGGAAAGCTTTGGGATATAGCACCACCTTTACTCTGCATTCAGTGGCTTCCTCCTACATGCAGGGCCTTCTCATTGCAGGGGCTGGCTTGTGGCAAGTAGCAAGTAACTGCCCTGCAAGCCATACTTTAAGAACCACTGTTGTGGAGTGTTGGATGCCAACCCCCAAATAAACTTGTCAATGTTTTATCAAATTTACATACGGTAATAAAGTATTATTGGTTAATTGATTATTAATTGGCTAATGCTCAAAATCAGTAAAAGGCAATATTATTTGTCTCCCATTTTTTAATAAACGTTATGGATAACCTAGATTAACATTTTTTTGTGGAATATTTTTGGATGGCCAGAAAACCTGCCCAGTATAACTATCCTTTACATCCTTGGCATTGTACAGCTTCACTTTCAGTGTCACTGGCCACATGCAAAGATACCCAATTTTAAACATAGTGCACCATGCAACAATATGTTGCAGCTCATCTACCAAGTTTTGAAACAGGTAATGGTATCATTTTTATATCATAACAGTGTGATATATTTTAAAAACAATTCATATTTCAGATGTTTCTGAATACTGGGTGCCAGTGTGGCAGTGCCATTAAGAGCAATAAGAACTGTACCATTAACATAACATTCGGTTCAGTATAGTCCTTATCTACAAAATGCCCTCAGAATGCTTGGAGTGCATAAGAAATGGGCTGAGTACTGCTTTTAAATGCTCATATGTAAGAGGAGGAAAGTTCACTGAAGTGAAAAATGTAAAGTGTAGCTGTAGCCAGGCTATGGACATTCTGATGTTTACATATTCTTGACAAGCAGCAAATACAAGAGTTCATCCATTTGCTATTGCAACTCAAAAGCATTGTTATTCAGTATATTCAGAATTCAGTATATCACATGTATTGTTACCTTTCTTTCACAGATCCCAATGCTTATCCTGGTCCTGCGGCCCCAGACCACGCTCTAATAGGAGGAATTGTAGCTGTAGTTGTATTTGTCACATTATGTTCAATTATCTTGCTTGGACGATACTTGGCAAGACATAAAGGTAAGCTGATGGAAGCTGCTGTTTTATTACCACTATTAATAGTGACGGGTCCATTTTTAAATGTTTTTAAACAAGATTCACACTGTTTTCTAATTGGATTCAATTGGAAAAATGTGCAAATCCTGGGTGAAAGTTGTATACTGTAAATCATGTGTGAAAACATTTAAAAATAGACCTCTTTGTCTTTAATCTAATGCAAGCTATCATTGTAGTGGTATTTACATGCCTGGGGGATGCCACAGAACAGTACCATTTAATGAGAGCGTACTCTGCCATGGAATTGACTTTTTTATCTTACAATTAGCTGGCATACAGCAGCAGCACCTCAATCTGATTTATTTCAGTTAAAAAGAGGCTTTTTTTCAGGTAGCCTCAGCTCTTTCATCGAACGGCAATAGGCCTGCTTTATATGGTAGATAAAAACTGGCCAGTAGTATGTTGTGACTGTCATTGTTCTTTCTGATGCAACACTAGTCTGCTGCTGGTCAATTTCTATCAAGATCTAATTAAGGATTAAGAGATTGGAGATGATCCAGCAGTGTAAAGCTGTCCAGCAGCAGGACATTTTAATGAGGGAGAATTTACCAAAATGTACTAGAAGAAGAAGAAAAATACAGGCAGCTGTTTTACTACAAGAAGTAAAAGACCAACAATGACCCTGCAGTATATAACTAGCCAGCAGCAAGACAATTTTTTGTAAACCCAAACGTATTTGACAAAGAACACAGGCTGGGGCTTTACTATAAGAATTAAGATACTGCAGGGGAGTTAATCCGGGGTAATAGGTCAAAATGTACTAGAGATAAAAAGTTTGGATACAGGAATTAAGGGACCACAGATAATACAGTAGTGTAAAAATGCCCAGCAGCCAGAGAATTTGAATGAGCAAGGCTGGATGCAAGTTTATTGCAGAAAGAGCACCAAATGGGATTTTACTTCAGGAATTAGGACACCACAGAGGATACAAAAGATTACAATTGGCTAACAGCAGAACAGTTTAATAAGGCATAGTAAGCCTAGCCAGTGTATGCCTAACTTTTATTTTATCTGCAGGGATGGGGGGTGCATTTAATATGAGTGATATATTGTGAGGTGGTTTAGGTGCATAATTTATTTCCCTTTCAAATGATGCAGTGCCATCCCGGGAACAAAGGGCAGATGGTCAGTAACAATAAATGCTCCTCTATAGGCATTCTTATTTATTATTTGGCAGGACAGCTAAAGTTCACCATACATGTTATAATCTGACAATACTTTTTTTTTTACAATTTACTTTAGATTCACCATAAACTATGTAATATGAGGACCTTCCTAAACTATCCAAGCAATCTGCATACAATCAGGCAGACAGTAGTGGCACAGAATAGTTGAAATTAAGATGGTGCAGCAATTACAGGCTTATACAATATACAGTACAAAATTACATTTTGATTAGAAGCGTGCAGCCACCCACAGCAACCAGTCTAATCCCAGTATACTGAAGTATTATTGGTTGTTGTGACTCATTGCAATTTTAATATCTGTACTGCTGTTTGCACTGCCTTGCTAAATAAGCCTTTATGTGATCTGTAAATATACGCCAATGCATGCTTTTGTTATACTGGGAAAATAATGTGCCTTGTAAAGTAACATTAAAAGCTGTGTTTCCTCTGCCCTGGCAAGTCCAATCAATGCAAACATTTGGCACAGCAAAGCCACATTAATGTAATCTGATGTAGATCAGAGCGTTGTATATAAATTATATGGTAATGTAATGTAAGCGGCTTTGCCTTGCATCCATCTCTAAATGAAACAAGAGACAGCTGATGATGAGCAAAATATCTAAGAACCGTTTTCTGTAATCTCGATCTTTGTAGGGACATACTTAACAAACGAAGCAAAAGGCGCTGAAGATGCCCCTGATGCAGACACAGCCATTATCAATGCAGAAGGCAGCCAAGTCAACGCAGAGGAGAAGAAGGAATATTTCATTTAAATGCAAACCCGGGTGACGACGCATTTCACTTATCAGGCTGACTGCTGGAAAAAACTGGCTATCACTTTTCAGAATTCATTCCCCCGCCATCTTCCGCTCCATTTTATTAACTTCTGCTATCAATAGCCAGCTTAGGCCAACAATCAGTTGTTGACGGCATCATAATTTAATTACATTTCATAATGCGGGACTTTTCTTACTGCTGAAAAAAAATATATAAAACAGGAAAAAAAAAGTCCATCATTCTGTTTTAATTCAGTCATACAGTGCTTGAATATACAGCCTTAACAGTTTATTTTACACTTTTTATTTTTCAGAACATATTTTATTTTTTATGTTTACGCAATGACAGACTTCCAGGCTGCCCTTTTATATATATTCTCCAGCACACATACATGAACACACAGACATGTATATTTAGTCCATGTTATTGTACTGCAATGCTCTGAGTCTATGACCTACTCATAGAGAACCATTATTTCCTGGTAGGATTTTGAGTAACAGTTCCCCATGTGGATGTGTGAGGTATTACGTACAAGAAAAACAACAAATTGCAATAATTTGGACTACAGTCATTTATGCATGTATACCGTATGGTGTGTGTGTGTTAAGCCATCAACACTATTTTGGTGCAGACTTGATTAGATTCAATACCATAAGAATGGGAGTTTCTATGCTTCATAATCCCTAAAGGGTCTGTTTTTGGATTATGTACCACAAAACCAACAGAAGTTCATAAACAAAACAGCTAGTGGTACTAATTCTAGATCTATGCTTTAACATAACAATAGTAGTTTTAAATCTTTCAGTATCACCAAGGCAGAGCCATACATTGCATTATTTACACAGTCTTTACTTAATATAGGCTTGGGAAGCAAATTAGATTATTAAAATGAAGCCCAGGTTTTATTAAAATAGTACTTCCACATAGTTTTTCTTAGTCTATATGATTTAGGATGTTTAACACTGTTCATTTTCCTTACTGAAATGTGTTTATTTAATGTTACAATCTTATCCATATTTATTGTTACTGTATGGATGCTATTGCTTTTTTTTTTAGGAAAACAAATGTCAGATTATCTGTGCATTTCAGTATCTTGTAAATAGTACATATATTAAATCAAGTTGAACATTATTTGATACATATTTAACTTTTTTTGGATGTAAGCGATTCACAAGTACCCATTTTCTAACGCTCCTCCCCTCTTGGATATGAAACTAAGTCAGTATTATGTGTATGATGTGTTTGAATTTCTGTCTGTATGTCCTAGCACTGTTCCAAACTTTTCTAGATCATTCTAATTTTTATCTGTCACACAACGGAAGCACAATGACAAAGGAAAGATATTTTAATCTTGCAACCAGTGTCGAGCCTCAGGTTTTCAAGTTTAACCATAGCTGAGTAAAACTCTGAAATTATTATTTCATTGCTTTGTTTTCATTTTTTTACAGCTTAAAAAAAAGTATTATTTCATTTTTTTTTTTATTATATTTAAAAGTTTTAGTCTGATCTATTTTCTGTAATATTGATTTGCCAAAAATCAAGAAAAAAAATAGACAAAAAAGCATTGCAGCAAACGGTACATAGTATAAATAGACTAATTCTATTAAATTCCTGTCTCTGCATATTGTGAGGTATAACATGTCACCGTCATCAGAATTTCAGACATGCTTTAACTGCACAGTAAAAGCTTCAGTAGAAATTATCCTCAAGAGGTAATACATTTCAAAACTGTTTGTGAAGTTTTATGATCAGGAATCCACCCAGCTGATCATGGACTCAAATATAAGTCTGTTGGCTTGATTTTTTCTTTTCTTTCTTTACTTAAAACAATCTTACAACAAAAAAAAATATGTTTGATTGAATTTTTGGTACTAATTCCTAAAGCTGGAAAGTCAAAATTCACTCGGAATTCTGTTTTGTCTCAATCATCCAGACATTGAGCATTCGGGTATTGTTAACAAGGTAGCTAGACATGTTAGGAGCAAGAGCATTGACAGCTTATGATGCAAAAATGACATCTTTATTTTTAAAGTATGAAGTCAGGAACATAAAACTCTTCAAAATAAAAATGTCTTAGAATATGTATATAGGAAACAAAAATAATGTTTTTTCTTCTTTTACTTTTGCTCATTCCCAAGAGGATTTCACTTCTCCAGAGTTTCCCAACATTTTTTTGTGAGACATCCTAATAAGCAGCAGTAAGCCATACAAACCATAAATAAAACCATAACACCAATAATCTTTTTTTACAATGATAGAGACACTTATTTCAATCAATCTTAATTCAGCATTGACTGTGGCTGGGATTTAAAAACTGTTAATCTCCTAATTTCTGCAAGCAGAAAGCACTCTCTGATCACCTTCAGGAATAATACATACAGCAAAATCATAACTCCATGTTGTTCTTATTACAGACAGATATTTGGAAATCAAAAATAAAATTATAATTAGGATAAGAAATAAACATTTAGCACATGACAATAAGTTCATAGAGCCCTATGTGTTAGCTAAAGAGAGAGCATAACTATTTACAGTACTAAGCACTTTCAGCTTGAACTTTTAAGCTCTTTAAATGGGTCAATATCATCAAAGGGGCGAAGGAGACCCAGGAACATATGAGAAAATGAGCCAAGAACTGCCTATGTTGGCTGCATTGACACTATAAATTATTCATACAAAATGATGCTTTAGTGCTCACCTCTAGTATTATTCCCCTAGTCCAAACTGCATATCAGAAATAAAGTAGTTATGTTACCCACTTGTCCTTAGCAAGATATTCATGAGTCACAAATATATCCGAACTAACACAAACAAAAGAAGCACTGATAACAGTATATTTGGTCAAAGCATGTAAATTGTAAATCAACAAGGGTATATAACTCTGTCTCGTAGGTGTCATAAATATGTAATGAGACCTTGAGACAAAAAGGTTGCTTTACTAAAGGCAAATAGAATGTTCACTTTGCAAAAGAAAATTTGCACTTTGCAAAAAATTTTCCATTAGCTCAGTGAACGAGGTGAAGCTCTGTTGACTTCCATCATCCAATCATGGGCAAGCAAAAATACTGGGTTTTTGTTTTTTCCTTGCTCATGATTGGGTATTCTTTGCAAAGTGTTTTTTCGCCACATTTACTAAGCTAAGTGAACATTCCCTTGTAAAGTGCAAATACTGCCTTGCTGCACTGGAGATTTCTGGTTCAAATCCCGGTCAGGACACTATCTGCGGGGAGTTTGCATGTTCTCACTGTGCTTGTATGGGTTTCCTGCGGGTACACTGTTTTCCTCCCATACTCCAAAAACATGCTGGAAGGGTATTGGCTCCCTCCCAAATTGGCCCTGTATGCATGTGAGCTATGGATCTTAGATTATAAGCACCTTGGGGGCAGGGACTGATGTGAATGTGCAACTATGTAAAGTGCTGCGTAAATTGTCGGTGCTATATACTCTAAGTACCTGTAATAAATAATAAATACATAATAAATAATGTCATTGCAAATTAACAGCCTATTTGCCTTTAGTAAATCAAACCCAAAGAATCCATTTGCACAAATATACTTCATAACAAGTAGACTGTTATTATTAGTTCTATTATTTGTGTACATTTGGATACATTTGTATCCAAATAACAAGCAAATAACTGAATTTTATATTTACCCAACAAATAAAGAAACATGATTTTTTTTTCAAAAAGTGCTAAATTTTTGTCCTGACAATGATAAAGAAAGATATTGTGTTCAAAGCAATACACTCCCTTTACTTTACACATACTGTACAAAGAAGCTGTACATATCACTACATCCTCCTTCCAAAATCTCCAGCTCACCCCCTGGCTCAGATATTTCAGTGCTTTCTAAAACCAGTATGATTGGCCAATGAGCATATCAAGGGCTTTAGAAAACCACATAATGCCAATGCAGAAGATTCCAGTATGGAAAGTTACTACCAACCACTTCAATGCAAGAGTGACAACATTCCTGAACATGTTCAAAGTACACTTTCCTACAATAGGAACAAATGTCAATATTCCTGCCAAATAGAGCAGCTGTCCTGCACTGACACTGACAATAAATCTATAGCTGCTCTTTAATTGTTTGCTGCCTTTTGTGAGATATGGGCAGCAGCATTTGAGAGGGAAAACATACCCAATTGTGTCTCACAAACAACTGATTGGGAATCACTGCTATACAGTCACTCTTTCTTTTTAGGATATACAAGTATATATAGACATCACATGGATGACTGTGATCATATAGAATCATATATGATATTACATTTTAATGAAGTATGTCTTTCTTGATGTGGCTGCATGCTTGTTTTACAATACACACCATAACATATGTGGAAAAAATGCAATAATATGTTTAAATATAGTAAATATGATAGTAAAAAACCAACAGGAGTCCTGTAGCTGCTAGAACAATGTCAAGAACTGTACAGGTTTGTAAAACTAAACAAATAAATTGAACACTCCCAATCTAGTTAGAAGACACAATAAGAGAAACGGTCACACAATATGATCACTGAAAACAAGAGCTGCAGACTAAATTCTGTTGCAGGTATATTGTCACATTTTTGTAACCTCTGTAGTGTATTATTTTCTGTTCTGTACTGTTTGTGCTCTAATAACTGGGTCTCTTTTGCTGCAATTGTATCTGACTTAACCCCTCTGATGATTGTGTTGAACATGGTGGCTTATTTATAAAACATGGTGTAAAGGGGACAAATGCATTTTATCTCATAGTCAGGGTTGTTTTTAAGTCAACAAACCAAAAAGAAGGATGTGGGGGCGTATTGTTATGGTATCATTAGATCTCAGTATTGAAATCTAGATAGCAGAGCCTTTAAAATGCATTGAGGGAAACTTACATAGATTTGAGCAGACAAAATCTGAAGACGTTGTGCATGGCAAGCAATCAGCTTCTAGATTTCATTATCAAAGCTAAACTGTACAAGCTGAAGATAGACGTTGACTGGATTCTATGCACAACTGCTCCAAATTCTGTTTGCACCAGTTTTAGAAAATTCCCCTCATTGTATTTCAGCCTCCTAAGGCAATACACCTCATTCTTTATAATAGGGACTCATGGCAATGCAACCTTTTTTGCATTAAAGGTTTTTTTTTTTTTTTAAGAGTGCTCAGTTAAGGTAAACTCAGTTTAAGAAACATTATAAAATATTAAAACTGACATTTCAAGTAACCCACCAAATTATTATATCTCTTGAAGATTCTGGGAGGATGTGGATCCTCCCCTATCCTGTTGCATTCTCACTATATCAATAGTAAGAATATACCTGAAATATGTTTAGGAGAAAGACCCCTCAGATAGGCGTGGGAGCTGAGATGATCACTCACATCTGACCACTACAGTTCTCAAGAGATATAAAAAGTCAGTGAATAAACCGAATAGCATCTATCCGAAACTGAACTAAAGGTGACACTTGAATTACAGTCAAATTGGTTTGTCTTTACCAACTTTGAAGGCATGCAAAACTGGGGCCAGGTCATTTTACTTTCCAATCTGTATGCTTCGATT